CCAAGAGTCATGGTGAGGGCCCTGAGTGAGCCCTGGAATGGCAGACTGCCCTTAAAGTTACTTTGAGATGGGTGGGGAAACCAGAGAGAAATCACCTGGGGCAGAGATGGAACATGACCCGTGTTCTTGTCCCCATGCAGGTGAACGCAGTGTACAAATTAGATGTTTTAATCGCATTGTCTCCAGGGAGTTTCTGAGAAATAAAGGTGATTCTCCCTTGAGGTGAGATGTTAAGAAGACACTAGGCACTCTTTGTACCTGGCTGGGGTGATCAGAGCCCGCTCCATCGAAAGGGCATTCAGGTTAAGTTACCATGTATATTTTGGCAAATTCTAGGCAAATTCTCAGCTTTTTAGTGCAGGTTAAATTAATGAAAACAAGGATGGTTTGGATGGAAAGACCCCTAGGAGGGCAGGAAGTTGTTGATCCTTGAAAGAAATTTTAGGAGTTTTGTGTTACATCTAACTGGGGAACTGTACCTTATACCCTATTGAATGATTTATCATGTAATAGAGAAATATTACTTAGTTTTCCTTGCTAATCAGCATTCTGGCTGATTGGATTTTCTTTGTTTTAGAATGCTACATATTTGCTGACAGCTGCTGGATTAAAAAAAAAAAAAATCCCGGCAGGGTGGGTGATATAATCGTGGTTCAAATTAATCATACCAATAAATGCCATGTTGAATTGTCAGTAGGCCAGGTATTGTGCCAGGCGCTTAACACATATTAACTACAGTCCACCATCCTATAAGACAGAGCTCATCAAACCCACTTCACAGATGCAGAGCCTGATGCTCACAAAGTTTAGGAATGTGTCTGAATTCGCACAGCTGTTAAGGGACAGGGTTGAAACTAGACCCCTAGTCTGGACTAGTCTAGAGCGCACAACTGTCACAGTTCTAGCCTTAGGCCCACCTTATGTCTCTTATTCAATTTCCCCCTTTCTTCTTAAAAATGTATTTCAGGCAATCAAAATAAGGACTCTATGCTCATACTACTGGGTTGGAATACATTCCTAGAGCAGTATGAATACCAAAATAAATGAGAGGCATGAAAAAAGAATACATGGTGATAATATGATCATCTATACATGAAACACCAGATAACCTTGAAAGATGAGGAGCTCACAAAGTCCTCCTGGACAGCCCTTCCCCATACAGTATAGATCTATCAGAAGAGAATTTACTTGAGACTAAGTCTGGCTGATGAAGAGAAGGAAAATAGCAGCACATTTTCCCCCTAACAGCTCCTCACCTTCCTGGGATTCCTGCCTTGTACTTTACCTTCCCCATCTCACATCACTCCAAGGACAGGGACTGAGGTTTGCAGAGGGGAAACTGCTCAGGTTTTGGCAAGCAAGTGGCATTTCCCAGAAAGCCTTTAATCCAAGAGACGGGAGCCAAGATGAAAAGCCCAATATTAGAGGCCTTGGGTGACCAATATCCCAGAATATAGGGGATCACACATAGGCTTCTACCTGCTTTCATACTTAGAGACAGAGCTCAGACTGACCTCAGACAGAGCCCTCAGGCTGAGCATGCCCTCACTTATTCTTCAGGCCTTTCGAGGACTTAAGAGCTTCGGCCAAACAAGGACAATCTTAGGTCAGTAGAAGAAGGAGTCCCAGCCTCTGATAAATATGAAGGACCCCAAATGAGAAATGATGGAAGGACCCTGCCAGAACAATGGGGTTTCACAGAGTCTGGCTTGGGTCCTCTACTGTAGGAGAACAGACATACTATCCTGGATGTGGCTCATTCTGAGTTCCAGTTCGGTCCCCAGAAGGTGTGTACTTTGATTTGAAGGGGGCAGCCTCAGGTCAGCAGACACCGGAGTCCCAAGACTGGTCAGATGTCAGGGTGAGGACTCTGAAAAAGAATGAGGGAATCAGGGCGCCTGGGTGGCTCAGTTGGTTAAGCGACTGCCTTCAGCTCAGGTGATCCTGGAGTCCCTGGATCGAGTCCTGCATTGGGCTCCCTGCTCGGCAGGGAGCCTGCCTCTCCCTCTGACCCTACCCCCTCTCATGTGCTCTCTCTCTCATTCTCTCTCTCTCAAATAAATAAATAAAAATCTTTAAAAAAAAAAAAAAAAGAATGAGGGAATCACTCACCCCAGAACAGAGGATCCACACAACACCCCCCTTAATGCTTTTGGCCCTGGGATGCCCAGGACAGAGTTGTGAAGTGGAAGAACCCCCTCAGTCTCCCAGTAGTGTCTCACATAGGTGGGGTCAGCCCTAGATGTGCAAAGGGAGAAAACCCAGGCCTTAGCAAGAATCATAATAAGAACCCTGACAATTCAATAGGGATCATCCTACCAGCACAGGGAGTCAAACAGAGGCCCATCCTATTCTGAGCCCTGAAGGCCCCAGAAGAGCTATAACTGATTCCCCCGGTGCAATCTCAGGGAGGAAAAGCCCTTGGTCCGAAGGGGGCAGCCCCAGTTCTGCCAAGGGTGGAGTCTCGGCCTTAATGGAAGATGAGGACTCTGAGTGCTGATGACGGGACAACTCCCTTAAAAAAACAAAACAAACAAACAAAAAAACGCTTTCCAGGGGGCACCTGGGTGGCTCAGTCTGTTAAGCCTAGGACTCTTGATTTCAGCTCAGGTCATGATCTCAGGATAATGAGATCCAGCCCTGCATGGGGCTGTGCCCTGGGAACGGAGCCTGCTTAAGATGCTCCTTCTCCCTCTCCCCCCTTCCTACCCCCCCAAAAGAAAAAAACAAAACACCTCCCCGAGCCCTGTTCCTGCTTTCAGGCTTGTGCGGCTCAGGAAGGAGTACCCCCGAGCGGCAGGACCAGAGATTCCCCTCTAGGGACTCAGGAGGGTGGGGGCCCTGGGGGCGGCAGGCCTGGGCTGGCAGAGGGAGAAGCCGCAAGCGCTGGGGTCCCACAGAGCCCCGCCCACCCCTGCTTTCAGCCCCCGGAGACCCCGGTGCCACCGCCCCCGGATGCGGATCTCCTGACTTCCGTTCTGGGCGGGACCTCGACCACTGGGCGCGGCGGTTCGTTGGGCGGCGGACGGTTTCCTGGGACCGGTCTAAAGTGAAGGTGAGGACCCTGGGTGGGGACTGAAGAGACTATTTACCCCCCATAACGAAGTTGGCCCCCCGAACCTGCCCCTTCGGTCGGGCTCTGGGAGGTCCCAGCGGACTGGCTGGCCGAATTTGGCCTAGAAAGTCTCGCGGAGGAGGCCTTTGTCTGTGGGAGTAGTCCCGATTGTACACGTGGAGGAGAGCTAGGTCCTAAAAGGATTCACAGTGAGGGCCCTGAGGGCTCTGAGCAGACCTTTACCCGACAGATCGGGCCACACTGGCAAGCTCCCCTGTACTGTGCTCTCGGAGGCTCCAGGAAGGGTAGACGCACGTTGAGAGAGCTGCTTTTCCCTCTAGCAACTAAGGGAATTGAGGGTCTACCTCTCAACTCCCAAACTCAGCAAGGGAGGCCCCGGGCAGAGCTGGCAGGCTGAGGTGCCCCCTCATTTTCTCTGAAGGTGATCTCGGGAAGGGGAGGGCCTTGGTCTAATGGAGCACGCTCCTTTCAGCAAAATGGACCCAGTTCCTAACAGGAGTTGAGGCTGTGATACCCAGTGAGAATGGAGGACCCCTCCCAGAAAGAAAGGGGCCACATAAAGCCCTATCCCTGTTTTCACGCCTGGGAAACTTGGGCATGGTGACATGATGCCTTATACTCACTTCTTCCTAGGGCATCTCAGGGAGGTGAGGGACCAGGTCAAAGTGGGCAGCCTCAAGCCAGCAGAGGGAGGATTTGAGATTATGCCAGGTGTCAGAGTGAAAATCTTGAGAACTGTTCACATGCCCCATGCCACATCAGTGGGGCCCCAAAGAATCCTGCCTATTATCAGCTCTGGGAGACCTCAAGGATAGGTGTCAGGCAGAAGTGTTCATCAGTCGCCACTCCACGGTAGCAGGCCAGTGAGGGTCTTGGTGTGAGGGGAGCGGTTCTAGGTCAGCAGAGGAAGAAATCTTAGACCCTGTTGTGAGTCAGATTTAGACCTTGAGTTGGGATCCTGTGGGGGACCACCTACCTTAGGACATCAACCTGCCTGCAATAGCTTTTACCATGTTTGGTCAGATAAGGTTGTCTTCTTCCTCTTGGGACTCAGGGAGCTTCGCTCTTACTATGAGGACATAGGCATCAGTTCAAGAAAAAGTGGAGCTTCTCTACCAGGAGCAAATTTGAGGAACCTGAGTAAGGAATCAAGGGGTCATCCAATCCTGAATAGAGGAGACATCAAAACATCCATCTTAACCCTTTGATTTCAGCCCTTGAAATCACAGGGAAGGGCTGTCAGGTTGAGCATCCCCCTCACTTCTTTATATTAGGTCTAAAGGCAGTGATATTCTTAGTCTGAAGTTACAGTCACCAGTCAACAAAGGGGAGTGGTACCGAGCCTTTCAAGGAGCCAAGATGAGGACCTTAAAGGAAGGCTGAGGATCCCAGTGAATTCAGGACATACAGGACCTTACTGAGCTCTCAGCACTGGGTATTCCCTAGCAGGGAGGTAGGCTGAGGCATCCCTTCAGTTCCTACTCCTGGGTCCCAGGGAGCTTTGAGGCGTCACCTTCAAAGCAGCAGAGGGGATGGTGCCCCAGCTTTGCCAAGAATTGACATGATTATACTAAAGATAAACTGAGAGGACCCAACATGCCAGAACACAGGGGGCCTCACTGCAGACACCTGCTCTCACCTGAGTAAACCCAAGGCAGGGCTAGCAGGATGCAAATAAGACACACTTTAAGGGTTCCATGGTTCCTCTCTGGGCTTCTTAGGGGATAGGCTGACCAGGAGCACAGGATCCTGTAGGGTCCTAGAACAGTACCCTCAAGGACCCTGCAGAGGTGGCCTTTGATAAAACCAAGGTGGAATCTACCTGTTGAAGGTGATAAAACCATCTTGCTCTCCCTCCTTCAGGGGCCCAAATCACCTGTCCACTGGCTCACACCCTTACCTGCCATCCCTGATCACAGCCATTATGCCTCGTGGTCAGAAGAGTAAGCTCCGTGCTCGTGAGAAACGCCGCCGTAACAGAGATGAGACCCGAGGTCTTATGAGTGCTCAGGCCACCACAGCAGAGGAGGAAGAGACCACTCCTTCCTCCTCTCCTGTGTTTGGGGATGCTCCCTCAGGCTCCCCTGTTCCTGGCACTTCCCAGGAGCCCCAGAAGGGTGTGGCCACCACCAGTGCTGCTGCAGGTGTTTCACGCCCGAGATCTAATGTAGGTGCCAAGAGCCAGGTTGAGGAAAATAAAAATTCCTCTCAGGCCTCAACTTCTACTGAGAGTGCTAGCAAAGATCCTCTAACCAGGAGGGTGGGGATGTTGATGCAGTTCCTGCTGTATAAGTATAAATTGAAGGAGCCCATTAAAAAGGCAGACATGCTGAAGATCATCAACAAAAGGTACAGGGAGCACTTCCCCGAAATCCTCAGGAAAGCCTCTGAGCGCATGGAGCTGGTCTTTGGCCTAGAATTAAAGGAAGTCAAGCCAGGCGGTCACTCCTATACCCTCGTCAGCAGCCTAGACCTCACCAGTGATGGCAGTGTGAGCAGCGCCTGGGGTTTTCCTAAGAATGGGCTTCTCATGCCTCTCCTCGGTGTGATCTTCTTGAGTGGCAACCGCGCCTCTGAGGAAGATATCTGGGAATTCCTGAATGTTTTGGGTATCTATGATGGAAGGAGGCATTTCGTCTTTGGGGAGCCCAGGAAGCTCATCACCCAAGATTTGGTGCAGGAAAAGTACCTGGAATACCGCCAGGTGGCCAACAGTGATCCTCCACGCTACGAGTTCCTGTGGGGCCCCAGGGCCCATGCTGAGACCAGCAAGATGAAAGTCCTAGAGTTTGTGGCCAAGATCCATGATACCGTCCCCAGTGCCTTCCCGCCGCATTATGAAGAGGCTCTGCAAGATGAGGAAGAGCGAGCCCAAGCCCGAGCCGCAGCTGGGGCTGCCTCTACTACCAAGGCCGGTGCACGTTCCCGGGCCAAGTCCAGCCACTCCTCTCGTCCCTAGACAGGGTTGAGGCAGATTCTTCGCTTTGTTGTTGGAAAGGCCTGTTAACTAGTGTTCCTGATATGCACAAATAACTTGCTGTCTTTTTGTTTGTTTGTTTACATGTTTCAAGCAGTGTTCTTCAACAGAAAGTTTATTTAGATTCAGAATATAAGTTTATGAGTGACATGGATCACACATTTATTGCTGTTTATCAGGTTTAAGAGTAAGAGTTTGTTTTTTTGAAATACAAATTAGAAATCCTTAAATCACTTTTGTGATCCAGAACAAGCTAACATGGCTTTAGGATAGGAATATCCTTGGAAAAGTGAGAGTTCCACACTAAAATAGTTGGGATCAGAAGGTAGATAGATGGATGGATTGATGGATGGATAGATAGATAGATCGAGTAAAAATTGGTTAATTCTTGGTTTGTCTTACTTTTTGTAAATTTAAAAGACATACCTCAATTTGTTTATGTTTGTCAAGAATGTTTAAGAATATAAATCATAGTGAATCAGACCTCTTTATTCGTGTCTCTTATTTTACACAGACATTGAGCATCTGTTCTTGGGAAGTCTTCATGCTTGTACTGGGGATGTTTAGTCAAAGAAGACCCAGCCACTGCCCATACAATTATAGATTCTAGGAGCAGCTGTCCTTAGGGAAGAGGGTGAGATAGTACTTCATAAAGAACAAGTGAAAAGCATGGTAAAGAGGGGGCTAAGAGAACATATTACTTAGTTTTCATTCCTAAGCAGAATTTTGGCTGATTGGGAGGTTTTTCTTGGCCAGAGCACTGCATATTCTCTGACATGTCTTAGTTGTAAAAAGCAAAACAAAACTCAGCCGCATAGATGGTAATGTCTGAGGTCAAGATAATCATAGTAATAACTGCCATTCCCTAATGTCTCAGTACAAGACAGGCCCAGCAACAGATGCTTTCTGTACATTACACATACTCCACCAGTCCTACAAGATAGGGCTCATCAAACTTACTTCATAGAGAAGAGCTTGCGGCTCATAGAGTTCGGCAGTGTGCCAAAATTCACAGGGCTAGCAAATGACGAGGCTGGGACTCGACTCCTGGTCTCAATTATTATAGAGCCCACACTATTTTACTCATCCGACCCTGAGCCACACCCTGTGTTTCTTATTTCAGTTTTCTTCTCAGTACTTCAAAATTTGTCTTAGGTGATAAAAAGAATGGCTTTGTGTCCAAACTGCTGGATTGGAATATATAGTCAGAGCAAAAAAAATTCCAAAATAATTAAGAGGTATAATTAAATAAATGACAGGATTAGGTGACAGTATGACCATCTACATTTGCAATGTTAAAACACCTCAGAAGATCAGGGGCTCTCAGAATCAGCCTGGACAATCTGTTACCTGTAGAGAGATCTCGCAGAACAGAAGCTACATGAGAATCCTCACCTGGCTGACAAACGGAAGGAATAGCTCAACTGTATTCTTTTCCCATGATGGCCCACCACCTGGCCTGGGATTCCTGCCTTGTGCTACAGCTTCCCCATTTCACATCACTCCCAGGATGGAGGCGCATCCTCTGCAAGGTTTGCAAAGCAGAAACTGCTCCAGAGGTACAGAGCTATGGAATTTCCCAGGAAGCCTTAAGTCCTAGAGACAGAAACCAAGGTGAGGACCCTTGTAGAAGGATTGGGGAGATCCACACTGCAGAATATAGGGGATGCCAGGGACTTCAGTCCCCTCTGTTCTTAAGCACAGATGGTCTCAGACACAGTTGTCAGGCTGAGCATACCCTCACTAAGAGTTAAGGCTTCTCACTGGCGTAAGAGCCTTCATCTAAGGGCAGAGTCCTCAGGTCATTAGAGAAAGGAGGGTCAGTCTCTCAGAAATCATGGAGATAGACCTGAAGGAGGACAATGAAAGGGCCCAGCCAGAACAGTAGGATCCCATAAAAATCCTGTCCCAATTGTCAGCTCTGTGAGTTCCGAAGTGTTGCCTGTGGTGAACACTGACTTTTGCCTCAGGTCCTGGGAAGGTGTGGCCTTTGTCCGAAGGCTGTATCTTCAGATCAGGAGAGAGGGTGGAGTCCCGGGAAGGGTGAAGACACTGTGTGTGGACATGGGGATCACCCAACCCACAACTGACAGTACTACACCAAACACCTTCTCTACTGTTCGCCTGGGAGGCACAGGCAAGACCTGGCAGGCTCAAGTGTCCCCCCACTTCTGCCTGGAGGGTCGCATGGGAATGAAGGCCTGGGTTTACCTGCTGGCCGTTAGGAAGTGGAATCCCAGCCATGACAATATCACCATAAGAGTCCTGTATGAGGGGGCGCCTGGGGGGCTCAGTCGGTTAAGCATCCGACTCTCGGTTTTGGCTCAGGTCCTGAGCTCCTGGCTGGTGGGACTGAGCCGCTTATGAGCTCACACGTTCAGCAGGGAGTGGGCTTGAAGAGTCTCTCCCTCTGCCCCTCCCCCCACTCACACGCATGCGCTCACTCGCTCTCTTTCTCTCTAAAGTAAATAAATATTTAAAAAAAAAATCCTGCGTGAGGAATGAGGCAACCAACTACTCTATACCAGGTATATTATGATATGCCAGAGCAATAATAGTACTAAAATAAATGTGAGGTGTGAATAAAGGGGAAAAAAGAGATAGTATTTGCAGGCTATAGGATCATCTGCATATGTGATTTCAGATAACCTTAAAAGATCAGGGACTCAAAAAAACTATCTGACTCAGCCACTTCCTTATAAAAAGTAAATGTATTAGAACAGAGGTTACATGAGACCTTAAGCCTGGCCAGGAAAAAGGATAGACCAACATAGTTTATTTCTCTTACAGCCCACTTACCTGGGCCCCCTGATATGTGCAGTTGTGGATTTCCCATCTCCTATCACTCCTAGGACAAGGACCCATTCTCTTCAAGGTTCAGAGTAGGGAAATGGCTCAGGAATTTTCAGGGATGTGGCATTGCCCAAAAAGCCCATAATGGAAGTGACAAGAGCCTTTAGGAGGATACCCATGAACCAGAACTGGGGAAAGGAGGAAGCAACATCCCAGAATATTGGGCGTTACAGAGACAGCAGCCCCTGCCTTCTCTCAAAGCCAGAAGGCTCCAGGCACAGCTGTCAGCCTGGGAATCTCCTCACTGTTTCAACACAGTTGTCAGGGTCTTGAGAGCTTTGGTCTGAGGAAGGCAATCTCAGGTCAGAAGAGGGAGTTATCAGATATAAATGTGAGTTCCCTTTAAAAGAACGAAGGAAGCACCTACCCAGAACCCTGGTGGCCCATAGAGTCCAGTTCCTGCTGTCAGCCCTTGGGGGTCATGAATTCATCACATGATGAAGTGTAAAGAGGCTTTGAGACATGAGCGAGAACGTGAGCCAGAGTGGCTGTCAGGCCTGGCACTGCTGCCAGGACCAGGGAATGTGCCAGGGCCGAGACCAGTAGCAACTCCCACATCTAGTGAAGTCGGGGTAGGGTGGGGGAATTTTTCATCTTGTGGTAAAAAGAGAGGTCAGCATTCTAAGTAGTGAAGCACCTAGGTGGAGCTGAAAGGAACACATTGTATATGTCTTCTTTTTGTTCTTGCTTTACTTGAGTAAGTGGGAGATTTATCTGTTTTTATTTTGGGGTTTCTTTTTGGTACTCTTAAAATACTGTTCCTTGAAATAGAAGGTTTATTTGACTTAAGTATCTGTGTTTATGAATAATATGTATCACACATGTATTGCTATTAAGTATAAACGTTCTGGTATTTTGTGCAACAAATTAAAAATCCTTGCATCTCTCTCTCTCTCTCTTTGTTTTTAGAGAGAGAGGGAGAGTGCACATGACCGGGGTTGAGGGGTACAGGGAGAGGGAGAGAGAATCTTTTAAGTAGGCTCCACTCCCAGCACAGGGCCCAAGGCAGGCCTTGATCTCAGGACCCTGAGATCTGGACCTGAGCTGAAATCAAAAGTTGGATGCTTAACTGACTGAGCCAACCAGGTGCCCCACCTTGCATCTCTTTTTGTGGTCTAGAGCAAAATAACATGTCATATGAATGGGGATTTTCTTGCAAATGTGAATGAACCCTGTTGTAGAATTGTTGGTATCAAGAAATAAAGAAAAGGTTTTGGTATCAACAAGATGGTGGAATAACATTTTCCAGCCCTTATTTACCCACAGAAGCACAGAGTTAACTATGATATAAGTAACAGATATCTTTATGAAAGGTCCAGAATCTATTCAAGAAAGTGTGATACTAATGTGAGCATAAAACTGAGATCAACTACACTTGAAATGGGTAGGAACAGTAATTAGACTTCACTGGCATCAGCCCCTCCCTCAAGTTGGCACAGCTGAGCCCCGAGGGAGACTGTGACTTCTCTCTTTGTGGGGGAAGAGACTGAGGTGATGCCATGTACCCAAAATACTTTTAGAACTAATAAATGTATTCAGTTGCAGGATACAAAATCAAAACACAAAAATCAGTTGTGTTTCTATATACTAACAACAAACTATTTGAAAAAGAAATTAAGAAAATAATTCTATTTAAAATAGTGTCAAAAAATAAAATAGGAATAAACTTAACCAAGGAGGAAAAAGATGGAAGAAATTGAAGAATACACAAATAAAAGGAAGGATATCCCATGTTCACTGATGGAAAGAATTAACATTTTTAAAAAAATTCATACTACTCAAAGTGATCTACAGATTAAGTGCAGTAGCTATCATAATTCCAATGGAATTTTTCACAGAAATAGCGAAAAAAAAAAAAACCCTAAATTTCATATGAAATCGCAAGAGGCCCTGAATACCAAAGTAATGTTGAGAAAAAGGAACAAAGATGGAGGCATCATACTTCTTGAGTTTGAACTATATTACAAAACTATATTAATGAAAACAGTGTTGGGGTGCCTGGGTGGCTCAGTTAAGTGTCCAACTCTTGATTTTTGGCTCAGGTTATGATCTCAGGATCGTGCGATCAAGCTCCACATCAGGCTCTGCCCTGGGTGTGGAGCCTGCTTAAGATGCTCTCTCCACCTCTCCCTCTGTCCCTACCCCATCCCCTGCTCACACACACACACTCTCTGTCTCTCTCTCTCTCTCTCACAAAACAAAACAAAAACAAAACAGTGTTATACTAGTATAAGATCAGACACATGGACCAATGGAACAGAATAAAGCCCAGAAATAAACCCATGCATAAATGGTCAAGTAATCAGTGACAAGGCCACCAAGAATACACGGTGGTTGAAAGGATAGTCTCTTCAATTAAATGCTATTGGGAAACTGAATATCCACATGCAAAAGAATTGAATTGGAAGCTATTTATATCGTGCTCAAAGATTAATGAAAAATGAATTAAAGACTTAAACATGAGACTCAAAACCATAAAATTCCTAAGGAAAAAACAGGGAAAAATCTCTTTGACAATGGTCTTAGCAGAGATTTTTTTGAATATGACAACAGAAACATAGGCAAGAAAAGCAGAAACAAACAAGTGGGACTACATCAAACCAAAAGTCATCTGTACAGCAATGGAAACAATCAACAAAAAGGCAATCTGTGGAGTAGGAGGAAATATTAGCAAACCATATATCTAAGGAACTAATATCGAAATTATACAAGGAACTCATACAACTCAATAGCAAACAAACAAGTAAAGATACCACCTCATGATATCACCTCAAACTTTAGTAGGATGGCTATTATCAAAAAGACAAGAAATAACAAGGTGGGAGTGTGGAGAAAAGGGAATCTTGTGCACCATTGGTGGGAATGTAAATTGGTACAGCCATTATGGAGAAACTGTTTGGAGAGTCCTTAGAAAATTAAAATTAGAGCTACCACATGATCCAGCAATCCCACTTCTGAGTATATACCCAAAGGAAGTGAAATCAGTATCTTAAAGAGTTACCTGCATTCCCATGTTCATTACACCATTACTTAAAATAGGCAAGATATGGAAACAACCCAAATCTCCATCAGCAGATAAATGGATAAAGAAAATGTAATATATACATACAGTGGAATATTATTTGGCCTTAAAAATAAAGGAAATCCTCTTACATAGGACAACATGGATGCATCTGGGTGACATTATTCTAAATGAAATAAGCCAGTCACGTAGGATAAATACTGCATGATTCTATTTATATAAAGTATCCAAAATAGTCAAACAAATAGAAACACAGAGTATAATGGTGGTGGCCAGGGCTTGGGGGTCAGGGAGAAATGAGAAGTTGTTGTTGAACTGGTATAGTTTCAGTTATGCAAGATGAATAGATTCTAGAGATCTGCTGTAAGACCTTGTGCCTAACTGATGAACCACTAAACTCTACCTCTGAAACTAATAATACACTGTATGTTAATAGATTTAAAATAAAATTAAATTAAAAAGAAAGAAAAATCGGTGTGCTTAGGAAAAAACATTGTGCATATATTTAACAATATTTTATTGTGCTCTTAAAAATTTGTTAAGAGTGTAGTTCTCACATTAAGTGTTCTTAGCACAACAATTACAAAGTTTATCATCTTGCTCTCTCCCCAAGTAGAGAGCAAGCTGGTTAAATGCAAGTATTTGGGCAAGACAACTCTTTTACACTGTTGATGGGAATGTAAATTGGCATACCCACTATGGAGCAGTATGGGGGTTCCTCAAAAAATTAAAAATGGAGCTATCATGTGATGCAGCAATTCTGTTTCTGGGTCTGTATGGAAAGGAATTGAAATTAGGATCCTGAAGCAATATCTGCACCCCATATTCATTGCAGCACTGTTCACAATAGCCAAGACGTGGATGCAACCTAAACAGTCATTGTTGGGTGAATGCATAAAGAAAATATGGCATATACATACAGTGGAGTATTATTCGACCTTAAAAAGAAGGAAACCTTGCCATTTGCAACAACGGAGATGAACCTGGAAAACATTCTGCTAAGTGAAATAAGCCAGACACAAAAGGACAAATACATGTTATATAAGGAATCTAAAATAGTCAAACTGATAGAAGCAGAATAGTATGGTGGCTGCCAGGTGCTGAGAGTAGGGGTATTGGAGAGGCACTGGGCAAGGGATACAGAGTTTCAGTTCTAGAAGGTGAATAAGTCCTAGAAATATACTGTATAGCATCTATAGATAACAATGTCATACTGGATATTTAAAAGTTTTCTGAGAGGGTAGATATGTTAATTGTTACTGTATTCCTGAAAAATAATAAAAAGGGCAGGAGAAAACTTTTGGAGGGAATGGGTAGGTTTATGGCATTGATTCGTGGTGGTGGTTCACAGGTGCATACTTAACTTCAAGCTCATTAAGTTGTATACATTAAATGTGTACAGCTTTTGGTATGTCAATCATACCTCAATAAAGTTTTTAAAGAAGCAGACATTTTGTCTTATTTGGGGTTGTAGCCTCAGCACAGTGCCTAGTATACAGTAGGCACTTTATATATATTTAATCATTAAGGGAAAAGAAAGAAAGTGTAAATAAGGAAAAGATTGTCAATTCTTGGTTTGCCTAATTCCTTCTAGTGTTTCTTCTCATAAAAGAAGTTACATACCTGGACTTGCTTAGATTATTTAGGTGTGTAAGAGAAATGAAATGTTGGTGAGTTAGACCTCATGCTCACTCTCACTTATTTCCAGTCCTTAAGTGGGAATGAGCTCTTTGGAAGGCTTCGGGCTAGTACTGGGGATGCTTTAAAAAACAACAACAACAACAAAACTCAAAACAGCAACAACAAGTTCTAGCCCCTGCCCATTGAATTTTAGAGTCTGGATGCTGCTATCATATAAAAAGAGATGGTGATATATTCTCTGTGATCGAAAGAACAAGTAAAAAGGGGAGAGGGGTTTGAAGAGGGGAGGAGGCTTGAGTTGAAAGCAGTCAAGTACCAAAGTCCTGGGACAAGGCCGTGTGGAGCTTTAGGAAACTGCATGCCCTTCAGCGAGGGGCAATTTCAAGTGAGATTGCATGGTGGGCTAGATGAGGTCTATGGGAGCGGTGAGCAGGGCCAGGCCCTCAGATGGAGGGCCTCAGAGATGAAAAACTAAGCCTGCAATGGAAGTTTGTCCTTAACATATTCTTTGGGATTGTGGCTAAACCACAGTCTTGCCCAGTGCATCTGAACACAGTGTACAGACTAGATGTTCTCTATATATCATCACCAGGGAGCTTCTGAGCAATAGGGGTTCTACTTCTTTGAGGTGGGTGTCCAGAACCCACTGGACTGGCCCTCTTTACCCTGGACTGGGGGAGCCATAGACCACTCTGTCGAAAGAGCACTCAGTTACTTTATCTTGTGTGTAATTTGGCAAAGTCTGGGTTTTTGCTGATGGTTAAATGAATGAAAATAATGGTGATTTAGATGGAAGGGCAGCTGGAAGTTAGGGAAAATATTGGTCATTGACAAAAATTCTGAGAACTTTAAGTTGTATCCAACTGAGAAAATCTCTCCCACAAACACACTGTATATTATATCCTCTAATGAGGATATATTACATAATTGACATCGCTAAACAGCACTGTGGTTGATTGTGATTTCTTTGTCTTGGAGTTTGGTAATATGCTCAAGTTTGCAGGGCTAGTAAGTGACAGGGCTGGGACTAGACTCCTGGTCTGAATTCCTCTCGAACACACCATCATTCCACTCTTCTCTGCCTAAAGCAAACCTCGTGTGCCTTAATACTCCAAACTACCTCAGGGGGCAAAATAAGGATTCTGTGTGCAGAGAACTGGATTGAAATACATAGCCACAGCAGTCAGGAATACCACAGTAAATCAAAGGCATGAACAAAGAGGAGACACAGATAATATTCATTGACAATATGACGATCTACATATGCAGTGGCAGATACCCTCAAGATTGGGGAATCACGAAACCAACCTGGAAGACTCCTTCCTGCTGGGAAGTAAATCAACTAAAACAGAAGTCACCCAAGAGGCTCACTCTGACTACTGAAAAAAAGGTTAGATCAGCATCATTTTTCTTTGACAGTCCGCCTCTCTCTTGGGTCCCCTGTCTTACGTTGTGGTTTTCCTATCTCACATCAAGTCAGGGACAAGAACCTGCAAGGTTTGCATTAGGGACACTGCTCCAGTTTGCGTGGATGTGGTGTTTCCCAGTTCTTTGATTTGAGAGACAGGACCCCCACGAATGAAGACTGGGGAGACAACCACCCCACATTATAGGGGGTCATTCAGAGACCTGCCAAACCTGCTCTCAGGCCTAGAATGCCCAGGCAAGGCAATCAGAGTGGGCATCCCCTCTTCTACTCCTCAGAGTTCTCAGCAAGGTCAAAGTCTTAGCCTAAGGAGAATGGTCACACTTCAGTAGAGGGAGGATCCTGGGTTGGATAGGTATCAAGTTGAGGTCCCTGGGTGATGAATGTGGGGACCACCGACTCCAGAACAGTGGTGTTCCAAAGAGACTTGACTCTGCTGTCCGCCTCTCAGGACCCAAACATCCCTGGCATAATGTGGCTCACTCTTCCACCTCTCAGGAAGGAGCAGCCCTTGATCCCAGCAGAGTAAGCTCATGTCAGACAGGATGGAATCACACGACTGGCCAGGAGCAAGGTCAGGTCCCTGAGTGAGTAAAGAGAACATTGCTAGACCCACAAATGAGGGGGCTTTACAAACCCTCGCCCCCATTCTTAATCGTGAGAGGCTTCAGGCAGAGCTACAAGGGCGAGAAGCCTTTTTATTTCTGCCTGGTGAGTCTCAGGGAGGGAAGGGCCTTGTCTAACAGGATGGGCCCCATTTCTACAGAGGGTTCGGAGTCAAGGTGAGAACACTCAGTGCTAATGAGAGAATCTCTTCCCAAAAGACGGAGGCTCACAGAGTCCTGTCCCTCTTTTCAAGCCTCTGGGGCCCCAGGCAAAGTTAAGTCAGAAGCAGTGCACCCTGACTCCTCACTAGGGACTCGGGAAGGTGAGGGCTTGCCTTGGGGACTGGCTGACTGGGGTCCGTAGTGGGAGGAGTCCCAAGTTCGTGGGATCTCAGTGTTCTGAAGTTGGTGGTCCCCAGGTCCTCACTCAGAGTCCTCACTCAGTCAGGGTCCTCACCTTGGTATCTGTCAGAGCCTGATAGGTGAGGACCCTGAATGAGGATCTAGGGACAACCAACTTCAGAACACTGCAATCCCACACAGCCTAGTCCTTGCGGTCAGCCCTCAGAACCCCGGCAGCCATAACCGGATGTGATTCAACTGAACTTCCGCTTGGAGACGGGGGTTGGGAGACACGTCAACCAGTGGCCGTAGCGTTTGTTCCGTCGAGGGTGGGTGCCCAGGACTTCCCTGAAGTCAAGGTGAGGACCCGCATGTGAAGTGAAGGGACCACACTCCCCCTCCTATAACAAAGGTGGCCCCACAAAGTACTGCTCCTGGGGTCGGCAATGGAAGGTACTGGCACGGCTGTTAGGCTGAGTTCTGCCTGGAAAGTCTTAGGGAGGAAGGCTTTGGTCTAAGAGAGTAGCCCTGATTCTGCAGATGAAGGAAACGTAGGCCCTAACAGGAGCTGAGGGGAGGGTCCTGAATGCTAATGAGGGGATCTCTTCTCAGTAGACATGGCGACGAAAACAGTACCCCTACATTTGGTTCCGGGAGGCTCCAGTCAGGGACAGTTTTATTTGACAGGCCCTGACAACCACCACCCTCCACTCCCCGAGAGCTCCTGGAAGTGAGGGCTTTGTTTGGAGCTTGGTGAACTCAAATTTAGTGGAGGGAGGAGTCTCAGGCTCTGATAGATACCAAAAGGAATACCCTAAGTGAGAACCTAGGGACCACTGAATCCAGAACAGTGGGGTCTCTCAGAGCCCTGCCCCTGCTTTCAGCCCTTAGAGACCCTGGGCAGTTGTGGCCGGATATGACTCATCCTTACTTCCAATTCAGTTTCCAGGAATTGAAGACATTTGTCTGTGGGTGAGGCCTCTGGCCCCCTGAGAGTGAATTCTCAGGACTAGTCTGGAGTCAAGATGAGGACCTTGTGTGGGGACTGAGGGGACCATCCAGATCCATAACACATGAGGCCCCACTAAGTCTCACTACTGCTGTTGGCAGAGCTATCAGACTTTCTGCCTGGTAAGTCTCACGTAGGGAAGGCCTTGGTCTAAGGGAGCAGCCTGGGTCCTGCAGATGGAGGAGACCTAGGCCCTGTCTGCAGTGAAAATGAGGTCCCTGAGTGCTAATGAGGGGTCTCTTCCCAGTTAGGGAAAGCAGCATCCCTGAACTTATTTCTGGAGGCTCTAGGTGGGAGTAGTCCTGTATGGAGGACCCTGTCTTTCCCCTCTAGAGACTCGGAATTTAAGGATTTGCTCTGAGCCAGGGGGCCTAAGTCCTACCAGTGTATTGGAGGCAGGAGTCCTAAGTCCTACCTGTAGTTAAGGTCAGAGACCTGAGTGAGGACTAAGGGGAGCATCAACTCTAAAAAGTGTGTCTCATAAATTCTGACCCTTCTCTCAGCCCTGAGAAAACACCAAATATTTCTTAGGCTGAGGCACCCACCTCATTTCTGTCTGGAGAGTCCCAGAGAGGTGAGGCTGTTGGACTAATTAAGCAGCCTCAATTTTGCAGAGGGAGGAGACCCAGGGCTTCACAGAAGTCAGAGTGAGGACCCTGAATGAAGAGTGATGGTACTCACCTCCCAGAAAGCCCCCGCCCTTGTCTGCAGCACTAAGGAGCCCAGGCATGGAAGTCAGGGGTGTGTGAACTCTGCTTTATTTTTGATGGCATCAAGTTGGTGAGAACCTTTGTTTGAGGGGAAAGACATGAGATCAACAGAGGAAGGTGTCCCAGGCCCTACCTGGAGCCAAGGTGAGGACCCTCAATGAGGACTGAGAACCCCAATGACTCTAGAACAGAGAATCCCACAGAACTGTCAGCAGTTGGTGGCAGTAGTGGGCTGAGCCAGCAGTAATGGGCCGAGGTGCCCCTTTAGTTCCTCTTGAGGGGTCCCAAGAAGTTGAGGACCTGGATTTGAGATGTAAATTTAGAGCAGCACAGAGGAGGGGGCCCAGGCCCTGCCAAAAGTTGATATGATGGTCCTGAATGTGAACTGAAAGGATCCTCATACTCCAGAGTAGAGAGGATCCTACAAGGACTAGACCTGCCACCACTGCTCTCAACCCCAGTAAGCACCAAGCGGGGCTGGCAGGCTGCAGCCTGAGGCTCCCTTTAATTATTTCCACAGGATTCTCAGAGTACAGGTTGATCATAACAGGAGCTCTGTGGTTTCCTAGAGCCGTGCCCTCACGGAAACCTGCAGAGGTGGCCTTGGTTAAAGGCAAGGTGGTCTCTCCTTGTGGAAGGTGCTCCCTTTCATCCTCTCTTCTCTCATGCCCAGATCACCTGCTGTCCTACCCCCTGGCCACACTCATCATGCCTCGGGGACAGAAGAGTAAGCTCCACACCCATGAGAAACACCACCAGGCCCAAGGTGGGATCCAGCATCGGAGGAGTGCTCAGGCCACTGCAGCCAAGGAGAAAGAATTCCCCTCCTTGGCCCCTCCTCCCTTGAGTGTTCTTCCTCACGGAGAGCCTGCAGCTAGGTCACGTAACACTCTCGAGACGTCTCAGAGAGCCCTATCCACCAAGTCTGCAGGTGTTTCTCGCACAAGATCATACAAAGGAGCCAACTGCAAAATTGAGAAAAAGCAAAGTTCCTCCCAGGCCCCACTCACCACTGTGCAGTCTCAAGGAGACCCTCTAACCCAAACAACGGGTGTTTTGGTGCAGTTCCTGATGCACATGTACAAAAGGAAAAAGCTCATCACAAAAGCCAATATGCTGAAGATTGTCAATAAAAAGTACAAAAATCGCTTCCCTGAGATCCTCAGAAGAGCCTCTTTCAGCTTGGAAGTGGTTTTTGGTGTTGACTTAAAGGAAGTCGATTCTACCAAGCATTCCTATACCCTGGTCAGCAAGATGGACCTCCCCAACAATGGGACTGTAAGCCGTGGCAGAGGATTCCCCAAGACCGGTCTCCTGATGAATATCCTGGGTGTGATCTTCATGAAGGGCAACTGTGCCACTGAAGAGAACATCTGGGAGTTCCTGAATAAGATGAGAGTCTATGCGGGGAAGAGGCACTTCATATTTGGGGAGCCCAAGAAGCTCATCACCCAAGATTTGGTGAAGCTTAAGTACCTGGAGTACCGCCAGGTGGCCAACAGTGATCCCGCACGCTATGAGTTCCTGTGGGGCCCTCGAGCCCACGCCGAGACCAGCAAGATGAAAGTGCTAGAGTTTTGGGCCAAGATTAATCATACCGTCCCCAGTGCCTTCCACTCTTGGTATGAAGAGGCTTTGCGAGATGAGGAAGAGCAAGTCAAAGCCACGGTTGCACTGCAAGCTGAGGCGGATGCCACGGCCAGTGAATATCCCAGGGAATGTCCAGCAGTGCCTCCTACACCTAATGAAGTTGAGGTGGATTCTTCACATTGTGGCTGAAGAGAGCAGTCAGTGTTCTAAGGAGCGGAGGGCAGGGTGTGACTGAGAGAACACAACGTATAATACCTCTGTGCTCCTGTTCTGTATGGGTAATTTGGAGATTTATCAGCATTTTTATTTTTTGCTCTTTTTCAAACATTGTTACTTTGAAATGAAGGCTTATCTAGCATTATAATCTAAATTTATGAGTTACATTGGTCTTGCTTATTGTTATCAGGTTTAAGAGTTAAGAGTTTTGCTGTTTTATAAAACAAATTAGGAAAATTTCCATCTTATTTAGTAATCTGGTACAACGTAACATGGCATTGGTGTATGCATTTCCTTGAAAACATGAAAAAAATAAGCACTAAAATATATGGAATCAATACAGAGGAAAAGAATAAGATGGTTGGTATTTGGCTTCCTAATCCCTTTTACTCTGTGTTTTAAAAAATTCTAAATAATAGTACATGCTTGACTAATTGAAGAATGTTGAATTAAACCTTAACGAATTAGACCCGATGCTTATGGGCCCATTTATTCCCCAAACATCGCCTGAGCATCTGCTCTTAGAAGGCTTCATGCTAGCACTGGGAGAGCCGAGAAAAAGACCGAGACATTGACCATCAAATTATAGAGTCGAGAAGCATCTATCATATAAGGAAGAATGGTGATACTCATTCTAAGACTGAAAGGACACATGGAAGGATGGGATAAAACAGGAGAGAGATGGTTCCAGATGAGAGCAGTTAAGTGTCAGTGCCCTGCAGCAAGGCAGCGTCGGGCCTTCGGAGACTGCAGCTACCTCACTGGGAGGTAATTCTAAGTTGGCTGCATGGGGCTGTTATCATAGGGAGCAGAGGCCAGGCCCTCACATGGTGGGATTCAGAGTTGAAAGACTAAGCCCAGAATGGCAAACTGCCCTGACCAGTTACTTTGGGATGGTGGGAAAGCCAGAGAGAAATCACCCGAGGCGGGGATGGAACATGTCCTGTGTTCTTGTCCCAGGACAGGTGAATGCAGTGTGCAAATTCGAGGTTTTATTTACATCATCTCCAGACAGTTTCTGAGAAATAAGGGTATACTCCTTTGGAGTGGATGCCCAGAATCTACTGGACTGGCACCCTTGGCCCTGGGGTGGGGGAGCCAGAGCCCACTCCACTAAAGCATCATTCAAATTAGGTTATCTTGTATGTCATTTTGCAAACTCCAGGCAAGGTCTAGATTTCTGTTGGTGGTTGAATGCATGAGAGTCAGAGTGGTTTAGAAAGAAGGGCAGCTGAGAGGAAGGTATGTTTGGGGGCCTTGAAATATGTTTTAGGAGCTTTGTGTTGCATCCACTAAGGAAGTCCACCTTATGCCGACATTGGATGACATACTTGAATGGGGAAATAATTACTTAGTGTTTCTTGCTAAGCACCATTTTGTCTGATAGAGTTTTCTTTGTTCCAGAGCACTGCATAGTTTCTGACATCCCCTGGATTAAAAATTAAATCTCATTGCAGTGAGTTGAAACTCCAGGGGACAAATTGATCATAATAAGAACTGGCACCCTTAAAGCTCAGTACAGGCCAGGCAATGTGCCATGCACATCTGCGTGCATTATGAACATGCTACCAGTCCCCAAGACAGAGCCATCAAACCCATTTCACAGATGAAAAGACAGCCTCACAGAGTTCAGTGTTGTGCCCAATTTCACATGGCTGCTAAGTGACAGGTTTGGAACCAGACCCCTGGCCTGAATTAGTCTGAAGCCCACACTTTTCTGCTCCTCCCAGCCTTAGGCTAACTTCATGTTCCTTATTTCCCCCTTCTCACTACTACAAAAATTGTCTCAGGTACTAAAAAGGACTTTGTGCCCAAGATACTGGATTAGAATACATAACCAGAGCAATTACCATATCAAAATAATTGAGAAGTGTGAATAAAGGAGAAAAAGAGATAATATTCAGTGGCAATAGGATCATCTATATATCCAAAGTCAGGTAACTTCAAAAGATCAGGGGCTCACAAAATCATTTCGGATAGTCCCTTTCATAAAGAAAGTTACATCTATTCAAACAGAACTTATATAAAAAGCTAAGTCTGGTTGCTAAAGAGAAGAAATGAAGTATTTTTTTCCTTTGACAGCACATGTGTTCAGGGGTCTCTGCCTTGTGTTACAGCTCCCCTGTCTCACATCACTCCTGGGACAGGGACCCAGTCTCTGAAGGGTTTGCAGTAAGGAAAATGGTCAAGAGTTTGCAGGGACATGGCCTTTCCCAGGAAGCCTTCAATTAAGAAACAGGAACCATAATGAAGATCCCTTTATAGTAGGACAGGGGAGAGCAACATGCCAGGCAAAGTTGTCGGTCTGAGCATCCCCTCACTTATTCCTCAGGGTTCTCCGGGACAGGTGAGTCCTGCCTTAAGAGGCAGCCTCAGGTCGCTAGGGGGAGGACTCGAAGTCTCTGACACATATGAAGGTGAGGACTCTGAATGAGGCGTGAAGAGAGCAGCCACCCAGAGCAGTGTGGCCCAGAGACTCCTGACCCTGCTGTCAGCCCTCAGAGTCCCCAAACAGCCTTGGAATGATGTGACTGAAACTGACTTCCACTTAACAGGTCAAAAATGTGAAGATCTTGGTCTGAGGTTGATTGACTCAGGTCAGTAGAGGATTTCCAAGGGGTGCTGGGAGGAAGGTGAGTACTCTGAAGCATTCAAGGGCCACCAAATCCACATCAGTGGAGACTCACAGAATCCTTCAAACTGTCATCAGAGCTCCAGGCATAAATGGCAGGCAGAGCTGGCCTCACATCCTCAGGGGTAACAGAAAAGTGGGGGAGGTCCCAGGTCAGCAGGGAGAGGAGTCTTGGGCCTTCACATAAGTCAGATTTAGGGTACTGAGTTAGAACCGAGTGGGATCACCATCATAGAGCCTCATGCTGCCTGCCACGGCTGTCACTTGTGGAAGACTTTGGCAAGTGTGGCCAAATAAGGCCACCCATGCCTCTTCCTATTAGATCTCAGGGAGCTATAAGCCTTTCTCTGGGGAAATGTCCTCAGACCAAGAAAGAGAGGAACCTCGGGCCCTGCCAGGAGTCAAACCAAGTAAACTGAGTGAGGACCAAGGGGACAGCCTGTCCCTGAATAGATGGGAAAACAAACAGTCTGGCTCTGCCCTTGCACTCAAGACTGAAAGCCCCAGGGGCAGGGTATGAGGCTGAGTGCCCCCAGCATCACTTGTTTGAAAAAACTGACTTCATTCTTTAAATACTTTTTTTTTTAAGATTTTATTTATTTATTTATGAGAGACAGAGAGAGGCAGAGGGAGAAGCAGGCTCCCCAGGAGCAGGGAGCCCGATGCGGGACTCGATCCCAGGACCCCGGGATCATGACTGAGCCGAAGACAGACGCTTAACCATCTGAGCCACCCAGGCGCGCCCTGACTTCATTCTTTAGAGCAATTTTAGGTTCACAGCAAAATTGACCAAAAAGTACAGAGTTTCCATCTACCCTCTTCCCTGACACACACACAGCCTCCCCTACTTTCAGCATCCTGCAGAGAGTGGTCTATGTGCTACAGTCTCTCAACTTACAGCCACACGTCATAAAGCTCATAGTTACATTAGGTTGATTCTTGGTGTTGTTACAAATCTTTGATGACTTGTATTCACTGTTACAGTATACATAGTATACAGTATACATAGTAATTTCACTGCTCTAGAAACCTCTATGTTCTGTCTGTTCATCCCTCCCTCCCCCCCCCCAGAAACCACTGATCTTTTTACTTTTTCTGTAGTTTTGCCTTTTCCAGAATGTTGGAGAGTTGGGATCATGCAGTATGTAGCCTTTTCAGATTGGCTTATTTCACTTAGTAATACACATCTAAGGTTCCTCCATGCCTTTCCATGGCTTGATTAGCTCATTTCTTTTTAGCACTGAACAATACAGGCATACCTCAGACATACTGGGGGTTTGGTTCCAGACCAGGGCAATAAAGTGAGTATCGCAATAAAGTGAGTATCACAATAAAGTGAATTAGAAGAATTAGAAGCAACTCCTGATCCATTAAAGTTTGATCATGAGATTGCAACGATGCAGTCCCATCTTCAGGCTCCACATAATTCTAGTTCTCTTGCTCTCTCCACCACATCTGCCATTACTTCCTCCACTGAAGGCTTGAGTCCTTCAAAGTCACCAAGGAGGGTTGGCATCAACTTTTTTCAAGCTCATATCCATACTGATATTTTGATCTCTTCCCATGAATCATGAATGTTCTTCATGGTATATAGAATGGTGAATCCTTTGAGAAAGTTTTCAATCAACTTTGCCCAGATCCATCCAAGAAATCACTATCTATAGCAGCTATAGCCTTACAAAATATATTTCTTAAGCAATAAGAATTGAAAGTTGAAATAACTCCTTGATTTACAGGCTGCCAAGTGGATGTTATGTCAGCAGGCATGAAAAGAACACTCATTGTCCATCTCCATCAGAGCTCTTGGGTGACCAGGCACATTGTCAATGAGCAGTCATATTTTGAGAGGAATCTTTTCTTCTGAGCAGGTCTCAAGAGTGGTCTTAAAATATTCAGAAACCCATGTTGTAAACAAATGTCCTGTCATACAAGCTTCGTTGTTCCTTCTGTAGAGCACAAGCAGAGTAGATTTAGCATCATTCTTAAGGGCCCTAGGATTTGGGGGATGGGAAATGAGCACAGGCTTCAACTTCCAGCCACCAGCTGCATTAGCCCCTCACAAGAGTCTCGGCCTGTCCTTTGAAGTTTGAAGCCAGGCATTGACTTCTCTTATCTAGCTATGAAAGCCCTAGATAGTGTCTTCTTCCAGTATAAAGCTGTTTTATTTACACTGAAAATCTGCTGTTTAGTGCAGCCCCCTTCCTCAATGATCCTGGCTGGATCTTCCAGATACCTTGCTGCAGCTTCTCCATCAGCACTTGCTGCTTCACTGTGCACGATGATGTTATGGAAACTTTTTCCTTAAACCTCGTGAACCAACCTCTGCTGGCTTCAAGCTTTT